TKKTKRWTTTTTTYCCCGCARCTCAATTAAGCCATGAAACAGAGTTTCATTTTGTTATTTTGTATTCCTATAGATTACATTTTGAAGTCATGGAATTTATWTTTGATAAAAAGGATTTTTKTTTWKTWTTATTGGTTTTATTGCAACATCTTCCACTTTTTCGATTCTCACTAGTTTAAAAAGCATTTCTATTCGTGTTATTTCCCATGTTTTCGTTTCATCTAAAATATTTTACGTTCGTAAATGTTGTTTAAACATAATTTAAGCGTCATTTTTCATAAAATTTCATTACACATGTAAGCTTTGACATTTTTTAATTCTTTGCAATTATATTGCGGTCTGCAGTCTTTTGATTATGGAACTTGCATTGTAATGATAATAAACTCCAGTGTTTTGCTTTATTTTTTTAATTTTCTGCGCTTACCTCGGTCGAATGAACTCCTTTGACTGAAACTCTGCTCGGTGATATCAAAGTGTTCGTTTAATTCTAATTTTTTTGAATAACAATGCGCGATATTGGCTTTTTGATACGTATCTTTACAAATATATATACCTCAAACAATCTACAGTGTTATTTCAAGAATACTATGTTAACATAACGCTGTTGACACAAAGATCTCCTGATTCAATTGTCGGGGCTGTATTCGAGCGTCTACTATGGATTACGGGTTGGTAAACGAACGAAAATGAAGAAGAAAATATAAATGTGGTTTCGGTTTSGACTTTTTATCGYTTTATTGTCTTMAAAACCACATTTTCAGTTGTATTCTGTGTTTGAAAATTAGCACAGAGTCGTGATATAAAGCTTAGCTTCATTTAACAGCCTAATTAAGCTAGACTTCAAAGATAAATACGCGATTATTGAATTCTCGTATTCTAAATATTCGTGGTCTTTATCTTATATTGCTTTTAAACATATCACACACTCCATACAGAGWATTTCATTTTGATCTGAGACTCGGAAAGCGCGCCAATTTCGCTGGACTTGACGCGTCCACCGCGCTCACCCAAATCTAATCCAGCTCAACGCTGCGTGTTACGGCGCCAATGGAGACCGTATGGCGGGAAAAAAGAGASTTTATTGAAAGTACGAATRGGTACAATCTCGGTGTGACATCGCGGAAACTTGAGGCCGTGTTTCCGAGTTAATGGACATGGGAGTTGCTGTTGTTGTTCAATATCGATGTTTTTAATTCGTAAAGCGTACTTAACTAGTTTATAATAAATACGAGATTATACGTCGCAGCATTAGACCGGAAACCACCAGCCTGCCGGCCAATACTTGATGAGTATTTTGGTTGGGAGAAAACGCTTTAAAAACGCTCGTGTCATCGAAATGTTCTCACTTCATCGTGAGTTTTCGTGCGATTCTCTCTAATCTCGGTAAGTTTTAACTTCTTTCTTTACACTTGCTTTCAATTGCCATCTTATGCGTGAGTTTATTCATCGWTTCTAGGATAATCTTTSTTTTCTTTAATACAATCTTATCTTTTTTTATCCAACGCTAAAGTTTGCATTCGTCGTTTATTTTTGGCGCGCTCACGAAGGTTTTACCAGCGCKCGTCCGAGCGAAATTTCACCTCATCATGAAATCACAGTTAAACAAAAGCCTCACTTCAAAAACTCGTCCTATTGTCAGAAGTTATCGAGAATTCAAGTTGGTTTTCATGCAGTTAGTTTTCCGTGAACACTGACAGCCGCTTTTATTCCCAGTACTAATTAAATTGATCCAACGATGGAAAAGATTTCGATAGACCAATCGGTGTAACACCACTCTGCAGCTCTTCTCTTAACTGTCATTTCGCTTCAAGAAATCCGGCGTTTGGGCACACAAAACTGGCAATTTAAACCAGTACTTTCGGCATAAGCACTTTGAGTTTACTTCATGAAATAAAAAAAGACAACGAAGTCGTCCTACAATGTCAAGGGAAAAAATTGGATCAAAGGAAGTCGTAGATTTTGTATTTAGTATAAGCTTTTTTAGCATTTTTTCACAAACTTTCGCCGTTTTTTAATGAGAAATCAAAACGCAAAACTCGTATATGATTAATAATAAYAAGAAAGCTATCAGAAAAAGCTTTTAAAAACCAATATGCTGTAATCATTCCCAGGAGATAATTGATGGCAGTTGTTTTTCTATWTTCCTTTGTGTTCCCGTATATTTTTTTCGCCGATTAAATTCTTATTCTTAATCCTTGAAAAAGTGAGCTTATTTCCCAATGAACGGATATAATATAGTGAAAACTTAAAATCTGATTTCTTAATAAGTCTTTTTATGTTTTTCTTCCGTCTTTTGTGTGAGTATARATATAATACCCCCAGTCATTCATCCCCAGTGCAAATGACATCTTCAAGTTGTACAGGAAACTCAATTTCGTAATTCAAAATAAAAATTTTATCCCTAAACAAACCGTGAATCACACACTTCAATATTAATCCAATGTAGTACAATAAGAACAAAAATGATTTTATTGCTTCAATTTTTCTTCTTTCAGTCATTGATACAGAAATAATCGWCTTTTTTTTCTTTGGATTTGGGGAAARTACGGTGCATAGCTATTGATGTCGCGACACCTTGAGTGTTGGTTTGCTATTCTAAACACAGAAACCGGTTGGATGAACAGGTGAAATAGAGAAGAATTGTTCGACGAAAGAGACGTTTCGTAATTCGACAAACAATACACGACCTTTATTCGACATCGTTCGACAAAAAATCGGTCACAACACATGTATTCGATTTAAAGTAAGCATTGACAGTTTTTCTTTGAAACGTGTTTGGACCAGAAACATTTCTTGTAGATTTCGACAAAAATCGGTTTGGTAAGATTTGTTCTCGAATTCAAGTAAGCTGGCATAACTACTGAAGGATTTTCTGAAGAAGACGCAAGTCTTTGCTGTAAATTTCGACATATCTGGATGAATTKTAAGTAAGTTGTTTTGAAGTGATCTTATTTGGAACAGGACACTTTCTTGATGTACACTTCAATGACATCTTCGATAACTCGATCATAACATCGATTTACGATATTTTTCACTGAAAACTAAAGTATATAACCTCATAGAAATTTAAAATTAGGCCGAGGCGTGATGTTTTTTTTTGCGAGACGCTCCAACATAATAAAGTGTCACCCAAATCTTTCGAAAAAAATCCGCTTTGAGAGAAGATCCGGGAATTGTGATGCCATTTCTGAGCCGAAATTATTAAGTGCGCAAGATTTTGAGCTTATATTTTTAGTTTTTAAGTTTAAAGTAGTCCTAGAATCGCGTGAAATGCGACAAATAGTACTGAGCCGGTGTTTTGTTTGCTCAATTCTCGTTGTCAAGCAAGCGTTGAATGAGATTCTCAGCCTTATTTGCATTTTAAGTGATTGAGTTTAAACTCCACTCACGTCAGGACCTTCATCCTAAGTAAAAAGCCAAACAAGTCCGTGCCTCCCAAATGGCCCTTCTTCAATGCGTTTTACATTTCAAAGTCTCGTTTCACAAGAGTTTCCTGCAGCCCTTCAGATGTCAAAACATTTAGATCCACAAATTCTCACCTCAAAACAAGCTTTCGTGAAACTTTTTGAACTTTGATCTCACAGAAGATCAACAGACTCGAATWTAATCTTCTAGTGAMGACTAAACACGCGCGYGTCCGCCTCTCTACGTGTTCGCGTCGCGTGGGCGTCAAAAGCGCGGGATTTCTGTGCGAATTGTAACGACAGATGTCCAAGCCCCCCGCGCGTTACGAGGATTACATGCTAATATACACTAATATACTCAACAGATTGTCAACGAACCCAGAACAGCATTGGATGTCATAGCTGAGCGTCCGTGACTTGAGTCTTGTATTTAAAGGCTGACCAAAGCTCTGTTTATCCCATCAATAGGGCCTTAATGGACAACTATTAGGCCGTTACATCAGTAATCAGTGTGGACTATTGTTCAGCCTTCTTATTAGTCGTGGTTTCATAGACTTGTTCTCCACTTTTTGACTTCCATTGGCTGGTGTAGTTCAATAACCTGGCATTCTTGCGCTTATAGACATGATGAACAGCACCGCCGGTTCTCTTGATATGTGTAAGCAACCAACGGATATTTTGTTTATCCTGTACACGACGTTTATGATTTTGATTCTGCTGGGAACATTGTTTGGCAATGGACTAGTGGTCCTCGCTGTGTTTATGTTCACTCGACTGCGTCGAATCTCCAACTTTTTCATCGTGTCACTGGCTGTGAGTGATCTAATGGTCGCGCTCATGACGCTGCCACTTCGCATCGATATGTCTTACCACAACAACAACTGGTGCTTGCCGAACAGCGTMTGTGTGTTCTGGGCTAGCTCGGACAATATCTGGAGCGCTGCGTCGATACTTAACCTAGCGATCATCTCTATCGATCGGTTTCTTGCTATTACTAAGCCATTTGTATACCAGGAGAAGATGACCAAGAAAGTTTGCCTTACGCTTATCACTRTTGTTTGGTGCTATGCTGGTTTGTGGGGKTTTTTGAGYMTTTTCAACTGGACAACYGGGGAAACTTCACTCGAAGGCTGGACGTTCATTGATGCCASAAACGAGAGAAGGTGCGGCAAAAATGACCCGATTTACTACACGAGCGTGTTCATTTGTGCGTTTGCTCTTCCACTCGTTATCATCGTCGTCACTTATGCTTCTATCTTCAAGGTTGCTCTGCAACAATCCAAGACTCTAGCTTCTCAGGACCCAAACAAAAGGGGCCACAAACGCAGTGTGCGCGAGCTCAAGGCCACCAAGACGATAGCTATTGTCATCAGTGCGTTTGTAGTGTGTTGGTTCCCGTTTTTTGTCATCGTTTTAACAGGTCTATGGTGTCCTGTGAAATGTTTTAAAAGTTTTCATGACTATCCCACTTTGTCTATAGCTATTCGCATCCCATTCGTGTTTGTMTTTCCCGTTCTWAATAGYACCATTAACCCTATAATCTATGGGTTGTACAACAAGGAGTTCAATGACGCCTTCAAAAAGCTCGTCTTCTGGAAAAAACGTCGCCGAGGGGAAGACTATCTGATGGATGAGTACTCGTGCACCGAAGTTTCACATCTCAGACGGGCAACTGTTGACTCCAACTCTAATCGTCGCACTGGCAACATGAACGGCTCAAAGATGCATTGAGCGTGGAAATGATGGAATGGTTGGGATATGAAAAGGACTGTAGGAGCTTCAATTCTGAATGGATTCGTCGAATACCTTCAAAATCAGTATCGCGAAATAACAAGGTTGTCAGTTACTAATAAGCCGTGACCATCAAACTTTTAAGGGTTCCTTATATGAATTATTACTGAAGGCCAAAATTCCAACCTAAGTATGACTGCTTGAGTTGCTTCCCGTCATTTCAGTTAGCCTATTATACGAATGTTGTCTTTTGACAAGTTTTCAGCTGAAAAAACTTTAATCCTTAAATCAAAAATTGACTTTAAAATCACGCTGAATAATGCGTTTCGTCTTAGAAAGCGAGAAGAAAAAAAATCCGGAAAAACCTGTCTGTTTCTTTAGCTAATAACAGCCCAATGTAAAACTTCACTATTTAGTAAACACCTCGACACATATAGCTTCAAACTTTCAATGCGAATTGAAAATGAAAGCGCTTGACGCCTCTGTCGGCTCGCGCTTTTTTCAAAAAACCGCAAAGTAAACACGATAGGCTATTGCTGGAAATTGAACAAGAGAAACTCCGCGTTTATGAGATCACGTAGAAGTAGAATTAGCAGCTTTATAGAAGAAACAATGACGGCGTTTAAACTTCGCGAGATTTATTGTYGTTGTTCATTTTGTGGTYGTCCAGTGGTGGGATTCTGACTTTGTAACTTCCTGTGGCGGCGTGTGTACATACTGCAAAGTTTTATTTACCATTCCATGAAAGCACGATTCATACCCCATGCACCTTGATTGTACTAATTGTTTTATGGTAAAAATACCCACAATTGTAGCGATAATGTTCCTGCGATAACACAAGAATCTCACCACATTGTCGTTTCGCCGAGTTTAATCACTCAAATACCCGCCGAATTGGGAACTTGTGAGGGAACGAAACAAGCTTTGCATAAATTTAAGTAGGATATTCACTTTGTGAATTAAAGAAGTGTATATAGAGAATTTATGTACTGTTTTCTTATTGGTTGTACTAGTTTTGCCAGTAGCCGTATACACCTGCCGTATAACCAACATATTCCGTTTCCATTTTCGTGTTGTCTACTACAATTTTTTGGCTCTATTGTTCAGCGTGTCTTATCACAAATCGATTTATTTATACCTTGGGGGCGAAAATGCGCATCGAAAAGCGCAACCACTGTCTAATCAAGCTGTTTTGTTGCCGCGGAAGTCATTTTCCAGTTATTATGGATAGTTTTCGCGGTGAAAAGAAAACGATCCAATTTACTTTTATATATCATTAATTATTAAAACACCGCTCAATTTGCTGTTATTTTGTTCTGAAGATCCGCTGCAACGAGTTTTTGCTTCAATCGACGAATCGGGAAGTTGTCATGGGAAGTTTGTCTCCCAGACTCAAATAGCGCCCTAAAAAAACGCTTTTACGAATGTGTTCGACGCATTTCCGGGTGTTTTGAGGACGTCGAGCACAAAACTGAAGTATAAAGGATCAACTTTACAAGAAAGGCCTTTTCCAAAAACTCGATATTTCCGGTTATGTAGGCCATTACCTTTTAGCATAAAGGTTTTCTTTGTGTCGTGTTTTGTCCTTAAACTGTTGATTGAGTATGTGAGATGTGCTCGAGGCAAAAACATGTTGTGAACATTCCCGCAAGGGACGTGAAGAAGCGTCTACGTCTCCTCTTAGCTTAATCATAATATTATGCTAAGGGTGATCATATCCGAATTGAACTAAGCTTTATCTTGGCTGCTATCAATTGTATGAATATGGATGACTCAAACAATGAGCCAAGACCTTTGAAGTGGTTTAATATGGTTGTTCGTTCTGTATCAACGCACGTTCTTCTTGCATGGCTCAAAATAGAGCTTTAGGGCTTTCGAATTGCTCGCAAATGAGGCCTGGAGCTCTACAAAGTGTRGTATGACGGGTAAATAAGCATTATTTTGGCGTCGCGCTTTGAAAACTATTTCTTTCGAGATGTGAAGTAGTTTGTTGATACCCCGTAGGAGAGAAAATCAAATCGGCTTAGGCTTGMCAAACGACGTTTATAGGTCGATGTTTGACACTCCTGCCATTAACAAACACTCTCAAATGCTAAAACTAATTAGTTGAAAAGTTGTGTGCCTTAGAGAAAGAGATGTTGACCGATTATTTATAGTTTGTCGAGGATTGAATTCAACTCGGGGKTTTTTGTTAGCAAATAGTCGTCCRTTTTCCTAAGTTATGGTATTAGCTTGACCGAGAGTTGATCTTTCGGTGGATTTTCGTRTTTGTCTTGACCCGTCTGGTCTCTCTAGGACCCTTTTACTTTTTTAGAAACCACTTCATTAGCTTTGACAGTCTTTTTATTTTGAAAATTTACCCTCGCTTGGCATTTTCAACTGGGTTTACATTCTCTTTTAATGTTTGTTCAACATCATTGACCATGGCATTTCCACTCGAGGTTTCAGCCCATCCTTCTAGCGTTGTCTTTCAGCCATTAACAACTGTAAGCTATTCAAACTCCAGTCGTTTAACTAATCGAAGGGTTTTTGCTCGAAATACAACTAGGTTTCATGTGACTGCTACGCGAATGGCGCCAAAAACCCGCCAAGATTCTCCTTCTACTGACGCTAGTTTCCATAACAACGCAGTTATCTCAGAAACAGAGCTTAGTGTAAATTTAYTGTGTATTTTTCACCGAGGAATGTTTGAACTCAACATTAAACTAGTTTGGATGKTATTGTGGTTCTAAATCGTGTTTAATGTAACAATTTATGAAACTAAAAAGCAAAATTTAGCAACCAGCTACTTTAACTTTGAAGAAATAGCTTTCTGGGTTATTGTCGAATTTAAGCATGTTCTTAACCATAGTCGGATTCAAAGCTAGTCGGACAAAAGACCTGTCGACTGGAACTAGGCTGTCTACAGTTCAAAATCCAACAGCAAACGATAGAATTAAGACAATTAAACAGTTATTTGTGTGTGTAATCCGCGGCTGATCCCTTTTCAAAAGGAACGACACGTCTCGGTATCTTTTTGCTSTGAGTCCCCTATCAGYAGAACAGTATGGTACCTTTTTAATAAAATAACTTCTATGAGATGGACATCTCTTTGCTAAGTCGATAATTGCCGTTTTTTATCGTTTTGTAATGAGTTTTGTATGAAGGYAAATTGATGAAGTCATGCTCATCTGCGGTTTCGTGGTCTTTCATCAATGGACATCACTGGGATTGTAACCGGAATGTGGGATTAGGAATGTGTGTTAGATTTGCTTGAGGAGCATTTTATGGGTTTTTCAGCGAGTGAATGACTTATGGGGTTAACACCGTTTGTGTTTCACATGATCTTGCAAACCTTAAATGGATCGATACCATCTATGTAACTTTATTTCGYTTTCAAGATTTATTTTGAAGATATCTATCTCCATTTCAGTTGTGTTTTTTTTTCTTTCAATTTTTTGAATCAATTCTACACTATTTTGTTAGATTTGGCGGCATTTTAAATTTTTCTTATTTAGTTTTTACTTTTATTTTTTTTCTTTCCTTTCTTTCTTTTTTCGCATACTTTTCTCCAATTTCCATTTTTCGCATTTTCGCCGTTTTCTAAAATTCCTTCAGTTATTTCTCAATTTCTTTATCTCATTCTCTTTACTTCTCTATTCTCTTTTCTTTTCGTTCTTTCTTACTAMTGTAGCAAATATACGTTTTATTTCTACGTTCTGTAATAGAATCAGTTAGTACCCAAATTCAGTCAATCTTTAACAGCGACAAGTCCCAAAAAAAGGTTTTGTCTTTTGTCTCTGAAGTGCTGCACCAAAAACTTAGATAAATATTCTATTGTAAAAATATGTCAGTTTTTTTAATTCTTTAGTAATTTTCTCAAGCACTTTTGGTTCCCTACTTAATAGACTAGTTTTCTTTTTCTTCTAAACCTCTTTATGAAAGTCAAGTTCACTTCACTTCRCCAAGAACCACTATTAGTTTTACCTCTTGCGTCTTGGGTTAACCTTTGCTTTTGCTATACTCCACTGTCTTGTGTATACGTAATGTATTTAAAGCATGACTAGGCCCTGTCAACTCTTGAAGGATGTTTTGCATAAGATATTTTACATATATGAATTCTTTTCTWAGTGAGAACTGAAGGGTTTCAAGCTACTTACAAAACAACACCCTTTTACTTCATACTTTGCATGAAATGTTTTAAACATTCGGAATTCTTTTATTGGAAAAACAGCTTATAAAATAACGCCTGTCTTYCACTAGTACTTATTTCAGAAATACTGTTTATTTTAAATGAAATACTTAAGAAAAGTACTTTATAATCGCTTATAATATGTAATATTTTGGTACAAAGTTGGCCATTACTGACTTGTATTCCCCCTAGAACTACTCACTTTTAAAAAAAATTCTTATCTCATGACGGAATATGGCTACCATGATTTACCTATTACTTAACGATCATTATTCGAAGTAAACTAGGAGTATAAAATGATATAATATACTGTTTTTTCTTATAAGATGTGAGAATTTAAGGTAAAAGCGTTGAATTTGTGAGTAGTTTTATAAGAGTTTGAAAATGTGAACCAAAACACCAAAACAAGACGATTTAAGTAATAATAAACTTTAATATTCCTTAGGAAAGTTTTTCAAATATATTTATATGATGATAATAATAATTTAAAATATAAAAAATCGTAATAAATGTGTTAGTATAGAAAAAATTGTACAATTAATTCATTGTTTTTTATATGATTCCTTGTAMAAATTTAAAGATTTGCTTTTTTAATCTTGGTATCTACGAGTTCCAAATGCTTCAAATAAAAACAGCACTTTGGCCTGAAGAGGTCTTGTGAAATCGTCAAGGAACACTCACAAAACTCTCTTATTTTCTATATTTATATAGCTTATATTAGTTATATAATCATGTTTAGAAGAAAAACTTTCAAAAATACAGATATATCTGGCAACTCTTGTATAACAGGAAGTATTGACATTCTCCTCAACATTTTATCTTTCGAAAACCCCAAGGCGGCCATATTGACAGGGACTATACTACTCCTGCATGTTGACTAAAATAATACTTAAATATAGCGACAATTGTAGCTACTTGTAAAACAAATGACGTTCTCTACTCTGGATATGTTACAAAACACTCAGTTTAATGCTCCTATATGTACTTGAAAAATACTGTGAGGTACGATAGTGGAGAGATARCTGAGAACTTGAGCTAAAAACTCAGGGTCCTCCTCGTGAAAAACAAATCGAGCATTCATCGTGGAGAAAAACAGTATATCTGAAAAGATTTTGATTTTTTTTTTTTGCAATTAGCTGCTTAGATAAATCTTAGACTTTATCTCAATTAAAATTCATTTCTCGCCTTAGCAACATCCGGCAAAACGTCGAAAAACAAGTTACTTTTTAATAAAATATGATTCTGTATATTGTACAATTCAGTTTAACAGTTAATTAACTTGTAATAACTCTTTATGTCAGGTAGTATATCTCAAAACGTGTTATCAAAACCAATCTTTAATTAATACATGAACTTGGCCGTTCCGAAAGGCTATTGATATCAAATTCATCAATGATGTGATGGTTATTGATGACTAGACCATCAGGTATGTAATGTAGCTTGTAGAATTGCTTTTATAAACAGGTTCGAAAAAGGAAAATTGGTTGGCTCAGCTGATAATCTTTGAAATGCATGGGTTTTAATTGAGCATAGTTATTATCRCCAAAGAAAACAAAATAGTTTGGCGTCAGGTATTTAATAACAACAGTTCGTCCCATTCAACTTGATTAATAATGCCTTATCTCTTAAAAACCTCTCAATTTTTTTGGAGTCATTTAAAGAAAACAAAGTAGTTAGGCGTCAGAGATTAAGAGATTGTGTTTGAACTGATTAATAATGCTTTATCTTTTTAAAAAAAAAACACTAAATTTTCTTGAGTCATTTAACTAAAAAATCACACGCAATATAACTAAAACAACCACAACAACAGCAAA